GCTGAAGCCTTATTTTGAATGTAGATTTGTGGAAATCTGGGTAGTTGAGCTGATATAGGATGAGGGAAATATGCTGTTGTGTTTGGATATCCTCAATAGTTTTTAGAGCATATATTGCATTATGGAAGATAGTTGAGTTGGGAATTGATATAGCAAGGCCTGCTTTGTGTTTTGTGATGTTTGTATATTTGTTTGTTATTCTGGTGCAGAGAGTGAGAGGCAGTGTAGTATTTTGAACTCTATAACTAATTCTGCTTAGTATTACTGTGTTTATAATATATATTGTTTGTTTATCAGTGATTTTTGCTTTTTTGATTTTTGTTAGTGCATTTGTTATTTTATTTGTTATGATGTTGTATATTGGGGTTGGCTTTTTTGATATTGAGTACCAGCAATCTAGGAATCTGAATGCTTGTTTGGGTTTTATGCTCTCTATAGTGATGTTGTTAAAAGTAATATTGGGCAGGTCAGTATGGTTGAGTGTAGTTAATACGGACTTGTTTGGGTTTACTCTATATTAGTGAAGCTGTAAAAGGTTGTGGCTGTAGCAAGAATTTCTTCTAGTTGTTGTTATGATGGTGCAATCCATGTCGTATCATCCATGTAGGCTAGAATAGAATGATTGATTTCGGTCTTTTGGGTTCTGTTATTTTTGTTGAAGGTTGTATTCATAGTATAGCCTGTGTGTTCTCTTGTAATTCGTGTTAGCAGTAGATCATAGTATATGCACCAGAGTAAAGGCATAATGGTCTCGCCTTAATCGATCCTGTCATGTACTGGGTATGACTCTGTGGTATCATGATTAGTTATTACTGTATTGTGTCTATTAGTGAATATGTCTATGATTAAGTTTATGATTGCATTTGGTAATTTGATCCTAGCTAATGCTTTTTTGAGTAGCGAAATATAGACAAAGTCATATACCTTAGACATGTCCTGGGATAGAACCCAGAGTTCCTTAGAGTATATGTTGGCCTCCTTTATTATATGTGTTAGCGTTATGATGGGTAGTGTTGTAGATGTATTAGGTAGTGCAACATGGTTGTTAGTATTAAGAATTGGGTATCGGGAGAGTGTTTTGTTGAGTCTCTTTGTGATTATTTTTGTAAATATTTTTCTGGAGTGTTCTATCAGTGTAATAGGTCTTGTATGTTCTAGGTGTCTGGTAAAGGTTTGTTTTTTTTGATATTGGGTATATGCAACTGTGTTTCCATAGAACTGGTACTTGTTGTAACTTTAGACAGGCATTGTAGATATTGAGTAGTGTTGAGAGCATGGTAGTATCTAGATGCTTTAACATTTTGTTTAATATATTTTGAGGTCTAGTAGCTTTGTTGTTTGGTGCTTCTTTTAGAACTATGTTAAGTTCTTCTATAGAGATTGTATCTGAGATGTCTTTGTACTATGAGTCTTGTATATTGGATATTGGTTCGTATTCTTGTTGCTATATGTTCCAGAGCTAATCGTCTGCAGGATTAAGCTTCGTCTATCTTTCATAGTGGGTTTGTATATAATTCCTAATCTGAGGTGGGTCTGTAATAATATCATTTGGTGTGTATATGTTGTGAAGAACTACTGGGTCTGAATGTCTCTTCAATATACTGTCAATCATCTTAGACGTATTTTTAGCAAAGTTGTCATTTCTGTGTTCAATGTGCTAGTTTATTGTTTGTGTATGAGCGATGTTGTTTTCAATCTTTCTCACATGGTAAATTGTTTTTTGCACTGCTTTGAGTTTGTATATGGTAGCGTCAATATTATCTCTTGCTAGGTCATTATCTGTTGCAGGGTTAATTGCTACTTTGCTGTGTTTGTTTATAAGTTGGATATCTAGGTTGATTTGTTGTGTATCTAAGTTGGTATGTGTGTTGTTGCTAAGCTTTCTGATTAGTTTGTTAATTGTTTTGAGAGTGTGGTGTAGTGCTGTAGCCTTGGTTGAGAAAGTGTAGAAGGTTCTGGGTGAGGTCGTGGTTGTTAATATGTGTTTCATTGCTGCGTGTTTGATCCCTGTGTAAAATTCATGCCAGTGTTTGTTAAGAGTTTTAGAATCTGTTATCTGTTGGTTTGCAATGCTACTTTTGTGAATCTGGCTTGTTGCTGCTTGAGCAAACTCTGCCCATAAGTCTGCTGTCATTTTGTTATATTGGTATATTGTCCTTTTTCTTTTTTTTGCTGAATGATTTTTAATTTTAGAGTTGTATTTCCATTCTATACTGATAATTTAATGGTTGCTATTTGTGATAAGGTTTGCTGCATAAAGTATGGAGCAAGTAAAGGTATGTACAAGGTAAGCAGGTAGCCATATGTCATCTATTTAGCTATGCATGTTTTGTCTGCACCATGTGGATGAAGTAATATTAAAGTACTCAAGTGAACTGGTAAGCCCAGTTGTTTGCATTGTTTGAAAAACAGGGATACTCTTTGATTGTTTGCTGTAGTCATAATTAAAGTCTCTCAGTACTATAATGTGATAGTTGTTCTTGTTGACTTGTTCTATCTATTGTATCGCTATTTTTTGTGTTTCAAGATTGAGGTCTTTATTGTTGGATGGTAGGTATACTGATGGTTTTATAATGGCGATTGCTGTTCCCATACTTGCTTCTTGAGCTTTTGCTGTTAAAGTATCACAGTTTGCGATGTAGATATAGTAATAGGGGTTGCTAGTCTGTAGGTTAGTATATGTAGATGCAGCCAGCTTTGTCTCAGTCATGCTAATTATATAAAACTGGTGTGTGTTGCAGAATTCAAGCCATAGTTGTGTTTTAAGTCTTGTGTTTAGGCCTTGTACGTTATATGTAGCAATTGTGATTTTGTTCTTTATAGGTGGAGCTGTGTTGTGTTTGTAATCTGTTGTATTTTCTATTGTTGTTGGTGCTGTTGTAGTTGAGTTGATTTGAGGTGCTGCTGTGTTATACACAGTTGCTGTTACTTGATGAGGTCATAATTATTGTGAGAAAATTCTCCAGGTAGGTTCAGAAGAGGTGGAAGTGCTAGAATAAAGTTGGTATAGTTTTGATTGTAAAGTGCTGGTGCAATATGCCAAGGGCTTCAGAGACGTTCTTTTGGTCAGTAATAGGAAGAGACAGTTGTGTTGTATCTACATTATTATTTTTTAGATAGCTTAAGATTTCGTCTAGCTCATTTGGTATTGTCAGTTTAATAGATGGGATGTCTGTTAGGTTAGTTTCTTCTGTAGTTTTAGAGTTAATTTCTATCCAAGAGTCAGGAATATGGTGAAAGTAATAGGATTCTCCTAGTAGTTTGACTACCTCTGTTAGGGTCTTTGTTGAGGTGATAGGTGTTAGGATGCTTTAATCTGTGATTTTCTCTGGGTTTTCATGAAGATCAGGCTTTTCAGTAGGATTGATGGTCATGATTTCTTGAGATATTGGCAAGTTAAATTTATAATTCTGTCCTATGTCAATGATGAATTCTATAGCATCCTACTTAGCATTGATTGGGAATGTATAGGTCTTCATAGTTTTAATTTTGTTTGGGTCCTTAGAGAGAGGAAGTTTTGTCTGATAGTAGTCATTAGACAGCTTTTTGAAGGAATATTCTTCTCGTAGTTCTTCTATAATTCTTTGGGATTTGCCATGATAGTCATTTGGGTCTAGTGGGAAGTAGCTTCTATATTTATAACTAAGGTCTTGGTATGCCAAAGGTAGGCAAACTTTGGTGGTGGTAGGTCAAAGTAGTTTGGTGGTATTTTTTTCACCTCATAGTATTGGCTAAGTTTTCTTTTATAGTCGCCTAATTCTCTAAGGCATTTCTATCAGTGATTGGGAATAGGTCTCTTACTGCTGGATGAAGATTGGCCAGGTTAGTTGGAAGAGGGTCTAAGTTTGCAATGTACTCCTTGGGTAGTTGGTCAAATTGGTATATATGATGAAGTGCAGTAACCACTGCTTTAGTATGAGCTTTGTTTTTTATAGGTAAAGTAAAAGGTAATATTTGTTGTATATTCTCTGAGATATCATTTGGGTAACTTGGTGGTTGTTGAAGTTTTCCAGAGATGGCCTCATGAACTGCCTTTTGAATTTCTACATGTTTGTTTAGTGTTGTATCTTTAGTGAATCCCTTGTAGTATTTGATTAGTTGTGTGATATATCTGGGAAGACAGGTGTTGAAATTGGTATTTATTATATAGTCAAGAAATAACTTTTAACAGAGTTTCTGATGAATGCTATCTCTTGTGTCTTTGTTAGTTATTGTGATTTGATTTGCTTTTTTGTAATTTTGTAGTACACTGTAGAACATCTCTTTGTATTCTGTTTGGTGTTGTGGTGTAAAGCATTTGGCTCTAGTAAAGGTAAGGAAGAATGCCCGGTCTAGTGCTTAAATTTGGCAGAAATGCCTGGGAGATTTGCTTTTGAGTGGGTTTGGTTGCTATTTTGTATTTAATGAAATCTTGTAGACTCTTGCTAGATTGAAGGCTGATAATTAGTTTGTCATAGTGCCATGTATCGCTATCGAAAAGCTGTATAATTTCTCTTGTTAACTCTTTATATATGTTGTATTCCAGATGCAAATCAGCCCAATTGTTAATCGGGGCAGCCCAGATTGCAATTTGATTTTGTGCTATCAATTTTGCCCCATATACAAATTGTAGATCATTATAAATAAATTGACCAATCAAAATAAACAAACATCAAATTATATGAATATTCAGAATATTACTATACTAAATAATAGAAATTCAATAAACATCTCAAATAATAATACTGAATTATATACTATGATTCTATATTAGTTATTTGTTATTATTACTAAACAATAGAAATTCAATAAACATCTCAAATAATAATACTGTAATTATATACTATAATTTTATATTAGTTATTTGCTATTATAACTAATATAAAAAAAATTTTTTTAATTTTATTAATTTTTACATCAAACATTATTGGGATGGCAACGAGTACTACAAGTTGCACCCGCCTTTTTATATTTACAATAGTTTTTTAAACAATCACCTTTGCAAAGGCATTTTGTAGCAGTTATAGAGCCAGAGCTTTGTTGGATAGCAGCTTTACAGGCACTTACACAATTGTTTAGAATATTTACAAGCTCAGAGTATTCTCTAAAAGTTCCAATAATAGGAACTAATTCGATAGCTGAATAATATTCGTTTAATCTTCCATATTGACATCCTAAAATGTATGTGTCATTCTCAGTGAATTTCAACACTTTACAGGGTATATATTGGCAATCAATACCAGCATCGTCAACTTCAGAAATTTGAATAAGAACCAAATCATTTGGTTCAAATTTACGTGGATGTTTTCTTCCTTTTTCCATTTGCTGTCTCATTTTTCTGTATAAACTTCCAGGTGCTTAGTAGCTTCAGCCTCAATGATGCTTTGGCTAATGTAAAAGGATGGAAATGAATGCGAACCTTGATTCTTAAAAAAAAAAATCAATTATTGTTTATTTCAAGCAAGTTTATATCAAAAAATAAAGGTAAGTACTTTTATAGCTTATTATTTTTTGCTAATCTAATACTTATCATTTGCGTGATTATATGATTTAATGGTGGTCTCTAGAGTTAAAATGATTGTTTCAAATTTAAATTTTGATCAAAAAAAATAATAAAAAAAATTTTTATTAAAAAATTTAAAAAAAAATATTTTAAAAATAATTTTAAATAAATAACAAATAAAACATAAATGAAATATATAAAGACATCTAAATTTTTTTTTTTTTTTGGTATTAAGGTGAGGCCTTGCTCATATCTTTATTGATAATTTTATTGAGTAATAGTAACCACTAGTTGACTAATCAACTAATGTGAATATTACTACAATTCGTAAAAATACAAATAAAATAAAACTATATAGTAAGAATAAAAGCTCAAACTAATTTATCTGCGACCTAAACCTACTAGAGTGGTCCTTGGCTTACCTAGAAGACATCTAAATTTCATATTTAATGCTTAATAATATCTACTAGATTTTTTACTGTCCTAGATAGTGGCAGTAAAACCTCAAATCTATTATCATATTTTTCAATTAAGCTGTCACTTATTACTTAATACTAACCACACTTACTGCTCTATTATCATATTTTTCAATTAAGCTGTCACTTATTACTTAATACTAACTACACTTACTGCTATGTTAGATGGTAGTGGCAGTGACGAACCCTAAAATTCAAAGCTAAGTTATTATATTTTTCCTAATTAAGTTATTCTTACTTAATACTAACTACACTTACTGCTACATTAGGCGGTGATAACAGTGGCGAGCCCTAAAATTCAAAAATAAGTTGTTATTATATTTTTTCCTAATTAAATTATTACTTTTTACTTAATACTAACCACGCTTACTACTACATTTGGTAGTGGTGGCAGCGTTAAACTCTAAAAGTTAAAGATTAGTTGTTTTATATTTTCCAATTAAGTTATTACTCCTTAATATTAACCTTACTTATTACCACATCAGGTAGTGGTAACAGTGGCAAATCCTAAAAGATCAAAGATAAGTTGTTATTATATTTCCAATTAAGTTATTACTTCAGTTATTACTTACTTAATACTAACCTTACTTACTATCACATTGGGTGGCAGTTGCAATAAAAAATCCTAAAAGATCAAAGATAAATTATTACATTTTCCAATTAAGTTATTACTCCTTACTTAATACTAACCTTACTTATTACCACATCGGGTGGTGGTGGTGACAGCGGTGAATTCTAAAAAATCCAAGATAAATTGTTATTACATTTTCTAATAAAGTTATTACTTCAGTTATTCTTATTTATACTAACCGTACTTATTACCACATCAGGTGGTAGTGGCAGCGGCGAATCCTAAAAAATCAAAGATAAGTTGTTATTATATTTTCTAATTAAGTTATTACTTCTTACTTAATACTAACTACATTTACTACTACAATAGGTGGTGGCAGCGGCGAACCCTAAAATTCAATATAAAATTAAACTGTTATTTTTTCAACTAAAATAATAATAATGCAATATTGTTATTTTTCTAAATACTTACCATATTCGCTGCATTAGGTGGCAGCGGCAGCATTAAAGTCTAAAATTTTCAAATTATGGTCAGTTAATTGTTTAAACCGAATATATATTTCTTATTCATTCTTTACCACATTCTCATTAGACGAAAACAATGGTAGAATCTAAAAAATTTAAAGTAAATACAAACTGTCATCTTTCAAATTTAATTATTAGTAATTAATGATTTTTATCACATCCTCATTAAGTGATAGCAGCGGCGAAACCTAAATTTTTTTTTTTTAAAAAAAAAAGATAAGTATAAATGGTTATTTTCATTTGAAGCATTTTTAATTACTAATAGTTACCATATTTTTATTATGCAGCAACAGCAGCGAAACCTAAAGGCAAGTAAGGTCATTATTTTTTAATTGGAATATTATTTCTGGTTCAACATTTACCGCATTTCCATTAGGTGACAGTAGCGGCGAATCCTAAAATGTCAAAGCATATATATAAACTACCATTCTTCAACTAAATATTATCTCTTATTCAACACTTACTGTATTTTCAACAATATTATTTGGCAACGGCATTGGTAAAGCCTAGAATCTAAAGATAAGTATAACTTTTTTTATTCTATAATCATTTTTCATTCAATATTTACTATATTTTCCTTCACATTAGACGGCAGCGAATTCTTAAATTTTAAGATGAGTAATTTTAAGTTTAATATTAAATTCAGTTCTAATTTCTTATTAAATGCTTGCTATATTCATCACGTTTGGCAGCAACTGTGGAAAAATCGATAAGTATGAACATTATTATGAATTAAAGAGCAAATCTTTGTTCAATACTAACCATATTTTCCATCATACTAGGCGATGGTAATGATGAACTCTGAAGTTTTTTCACATTTTAATACTTAATTACATCTATATATATTTTTCAACACTAATATT